CTGTGACTCAAATCTTCCAGAAGAATGTGACTGTAGGAATTTTGTCTTGATTCATTTTCCTTGGACACTTTTATTCCAGACAAAACTGTCAAATTAAATCATGTGAACACATTTGGTATTAAAACATATTTAATCAAATGGAAGTTTTAACGATCAGAGTCTACGTACCGACCACCGTCACCACAGCTCTCTCGCTGCCCTGCACCAGATCTGCTGGTAAGGTGAAGGACACGTGCGTGGAGACGCTCGACTGTGACGGAGACACCTCCAACAGCAGCGAGGCCGAGAACGTCTGCTCGATTCCCTCGGCCTGAAACAACACAAACTGGCGGTGAGTAAGATTTCTGGGAAACATCAGGACAACCTCAGATTAGTGCAACAGCTGTTTGACAAACGCTCTGATAAACACGAGGAAGGTTCAATTCCCACGGGTGATGTTTTGTTGAGCAAGACGCTGAAACCCTGAGTGATGGAAACAGCTTCTGCTCATAAGAGAAACACTGATTCACTCTGGACCAGAAACAATCTGAGGGTCACAAGTTTAACGAGCAGGGACTAAAGATAAAAAACAAACAGGACATTCGTCTTGATAAAGAAACTGTCCAGTTATCAAAAGACAGAACATTTAGAAAGTCATGTTTCTGTGACGTGTTATAACTTTAAACCTCCAGTTTCTCACGCACCTTGACGAGCAACATCCTGCGCACAAAGTCGGACGCCGCGTACGACTTGGCTTTCACAGAGATGGGGATCTCTCCGAGGACCAGCGGCCTGATGGGAACGAGGACGGCCGTCCCGCTCTGGCTCCCCATGGACAGCCGCCGGACGCCTGGCACGGAGAGCGCATCATTGTCCGGGAAGACGAACTCAAAGGTGTCGCTCTGCGCCACAGTCACCATGACCTGCCAACAAAGACACGAGGAGCATCCGCCCAGATCACGTTACACAGAACAGAGCGTGGGAGGAAACAAAGGAGCGTGTTGTCGAAACCAAATATCAAACTGAACACGACTGTGTCACGTGGTCTTTTATGAAGGATTTAGTTTGGATCGTCTCCTCAGAGGAAACAGAGGACGGAGATAAAGCCACTGATGCTGTGCTGAGATTACTGGAACCTGACGATCCCGTGAACTACAGAGAATTCACAGCTGCAACCAGACTCCTGCTGTCCGAACACGTTGACGCTGGTAGAATCAGACACGTCCTGTTTGTCTGAACCAGCATCAGTGTTCCGAGACCTTCGTTCATGAACTTAAGATCTGACACAGCTCAACTGTTTGAACTTTAGAGTCGGACTGAAGAGTGACCGGTCGAGTTTCGGATAAAAAGAGAACAAAGAGTTTAAAGCAGAGAATTAAATCAAACGTTTCAGTATCTCAAGTGATCGGCGGAGTGGGCGGGGCAGCACTGACCTCCAGGTCGTGCAGGAGGTAGTTGAACAGGACGATCTCCAGCAGCAGCTCCTCTCCCCGGATGATGAACGCCGGCAGATTCAAGGACAGGAAAAAGTCCTGGAACACTGTGAGCTGAAGAACGCAACATGGAAACGGTCTCAGAGGAAAACACAACAACACACAGATATTCATAACGTAAACAAGTACTTATACAAGACTGCCCGTACATAATACAACAGAACTCAAACGCTTTCACTAAAAAGTACAAATCGAATTAAGAAAATTATAATTTCATTGCAACGAATGAGAAACAGCTGTACAACGTCACTTTGGCCACAACTTTGCAGTTCAGTGTTTTACAGAGCGTCTGAAGGATCTGACCTCTGCCGGCTCTTCCACGACGCCCAGTCCCAAGTTCTCAGACATGACGAAGGCGGTGGCGACCCAGGCTGTGATGCTGTCTGGTGCAGTGACACGTAACTCTTTAGTGTCTGAGTCACTGTCCAAAGAAAAAGACGTCCGTTCAGTTTGTCATGTTTATATAAAGGCTCCACATCTTTTAAATCTCCAAACTTTCAGTAAAGATTTTTACAACTTAAGTTTAGTTCTTTGCCTTTTGACCCACCTCACGTTGGTGTCCAGCCACATCCAGGTCTCTGGAAAGTTCTGGCGCTCTCGAGCATCCTGCTGTTGCTGCGTCGGTGGATCGTCCGCGTGGGTGAGGTGATACATTCCCTCCCCTGCTGTTGAGAAGATGAGCACTTGTTAGATTAGCTTCACAAAGTCGCCACAGTCGTGATGTTTAAGTGAGAAAACATTTTTTAAAACTTACGTAATGTAGGCCTCATTGGATTTTTCATCTCGTGTAAAGTGGCATCGGTCAGAGCCACGAAATCACAAATCTGAGCAGAGACGAGAAACATTTCACTACAGACACGTCCGGTTCGTCCACGGGGACATTTGCACGAGGACGATTATTCAGTCAAATCTTTGTGTGCAGTTGAATTCTCAGAACTTTTGCTATATAACTAGTTGATGATCTGGACTTTGTGAATCAATACGTATTTTCAGGGAGGTGAAATTGACCAAATATTCCTTTTAACTGGAGAGAATTAATATTTAAAGTTTAATCTGCAGCAGTTTGTTTACATATATGTCTCTGATGCAATGTGGAGAGAGCTCAGTGTCATCTAGGTTCATTATTTTGTGATATTAGATTTAATACCACATTGTTAGGAACCCTTGCAGATGTAACAAAACAAACTATAGATGAAACTTTAAAACCAATAAAACCTACTTATTGTAAATACTCATGTTATTCCTGGAAACAGAAATATGAATTCAACTCACTTCACATTGTTATAAAACTTATTTTCAGCAGAGAGACTGAACTTCAGTCAACAGAGCAGCTCATCCCAAACATCAGGACCAACCTTGAAGACGGAGTGCGGATCTCCCATTGTCAACATGTCGGAGAAGGCGTCAGCCGCGGAGACGCTGTACTGCTTAATCTCCTCCATCACCTGTGAGAGCAACAACATCCTCAGAGCCGCCATTGTTCCAGCAGACAAACCCAGACAACAGTAATCCAGACACAAAGAGGGCCGGCATTGTGAGGGACCAGTCTGACCGGTGCTCTGGGTCACACTGAACCGATACTGGGGCGGTGGATTGGGTTTCAGACGAGAAATATGGGTGTGAGGGTAATGCACCCGGAAACTGTTTGAAAACAGTAAACTGAGGGAACCTGAGGAGACAAAGGCTTCGCTCCTCAGGGTTCACACAGCGTTATGTAAGATGGTGATCCTGTTTTCACACCAACGTCCACCACAACATTCAATATATAGGAAATATAACATATCGTACAGTTCGACAACAAACTGTTATCGTGAGCAGAGCTTCTGACAAACAGTCTGAGGTGCAGAGTCAAGTCAGAAAACTGTTCATCCCACCTGGTTTATCTGCACTGAAGGTTTTACATTCAATAGATTTTATGATAAAATCCGTCAGCAGCGGTTCTCACCCTCATCTTGGTGATGTCGTTGTTTGATCCCCTCCCCCGCGTCGCCTTGTCGACCACCAGGATCCCGACCAGAGAGCCCGGCTCCGCCACCTTGACCCTGAGAGTGACGTCATCGCCCGGCTGCGTGACAGTGTCGCTCCAGCTCAGAGAAACCTGAAATATAGTTCAAACAAATAGTCACCGTACAACCACCTTAAAACAAACCTTCCTGTTATTAGCGGAGCTGTCGCTGCCTCTTTTGTTACTAGTTGACAATCGTATCATTAGAATCAGTTTCTCTCTGAAGGTCTGGAATTAGTTGAGTCAGCAACGTGCTGAGATTCACTCTGAAATAAAACAACTTTTATCACCTGGTTGTGTAGCGCTGGTTTGATTGGCAGCTGCAGGACATCATTGACGATCTCTCCGTCAGGACGGACACAGAAGACGATGACACAGGCCAGAGGAGCCCAGGAGACCTCAGGGAACAGCGTCAGGTCCCCGGAGCTATTTCCTGCAGAGACAACTCGACCTCTGGACTTCACCTGCACAGGAAACAGGTTTAAAGAATCATTGTTGTGGTTCGATGTAGATCACATCCTTTCTCTTTCAACTGTTTTCTACACTTTGTTCTTGAAATACATTTCACTCATTAAGCTGCATCCAGTGATTTGGCCACGAGGAAGCAGAGGTTTATTCATATTGGGACTTTTGCCAGATGATAAACTCAACTGTCTCTTTTATTTGGAAATCACTTTGCGTAAAAAACATAGTGGAACCAACCTGAATAAATTAAGCTTATGAAAATATAAAAATAGTGACAGAATCATTAAAATACTCAAATCAAGACAAAGACATTCATGTTCATTTTTTAGTTGCACTTAATGAAACGTTTCTTACGATGTAGTGAATCTCTGTCACTGGAAAATTCTTCTGGATGTGCAGCAGGACGAGAGAATCAACCTGACGGAAGAGAAAGCATTGATTCTTCACTTCTTCCAAACGAGAGAGAACTTGTTAAAGACTCGAGCGTTTACCTCAGCAGGTGTGGAGGGTTTCTGAATCTGCAGATACGTGTGACTGGGTGACGTGTAGCTCCTGTAGAGCTGAAGAGTGCTGTGGCTGTCTCCAAACGACGCCTGAAAACAAACTCAATTACTAATGAGAAACATTTGAAATGATTCCATCAATCCTGCGTCTCTGTAGCGGACTTCAAAATCCTCATGTGAGATGTTTGAACCTTGAGATAAATACTTTGATCACTGAGGGAAACGTTCACGCTCCATGTGAACTTATCAAAAAATAATATTCCAATAAAGTTTGCATGTTGTGTAATTTGTCCAAATTCTGGTAATAAACAATAAGCAGCAGTTATTCTTGAACTGGAGTTTAGTGTTTGACTGCTGGAACACGAAGGAGCCACCAGACACTTTAAGGAACGTGGCTGAACGAGTCACTTATTTACATTTGTAGAAAGTAAGAAATTAAAAAGTCCAGTCCTTTAGATCATTTAAGAAGAAGACAGGAGGTTGTGTTTGTCCCTGGCTGCTGGTATTTTAAGGAACTTTAATGGTCAGTGTGTGTTCAGAGTTCACTCACATCAATAGTGAGCGTTTCAGTTTCATTCATGACCAGGACGTGGAGCGGTACGACTCCATCTGCAGGAACCGGGAACTCCATTTGTTTAAGGGGCATCTGCTCCGGATGTTGAGGACCCGACACGTTCGATGATCGAGGCCTCATTTCTAACCCTTGATCCATTTTCCAGTTCCACGGACTTTCCTTCCTCTGCATCACCGACACTTGGACCGTGTTTCTCTGATCCTCCAGGGACAGAGGCTGATTGTTGTATGTCGATATTTTCAGCTACAACACGAAGAAATCGTCAGCTACTGGGAAAATACTTAGAATTTAAGGTTCTAGAACAGTTTGTAAAATGTATTTCATTGGTCGTACAAAGTTCAAAATGAATCTTCCTCATGATCTCAGACATAATGTTGATATATTAAATGTTTTGCTTTTCTTACCGTGGCAACAAACTTTAATGAGGGCCTCAACATTTTGGAATAGCCGTGGAAGGAAAGTTTATATTTGTATTGTTCCAGAGAAACCACGGCCGAGCTGCTGTAGGTGAGACCTGAAAGACAGGAACACAAACCAGAGTCAATAAAACACCGGCCACATCGGACGACGCTTTTTATTTATTTTGGAATCTTTTCCTTGAGAATAATTCTTAAGTGATTGAGTGTGTGAAGCTTTTTGTGCCGTTCTAGTTTATCTTAGAATTTACCAGCAAACAATTAGTCAAATTTAAATATATATAGAACTCAACAGTATATTTTTTATAATTGAAACAAACTGAGAACATGAGCTCATGGTCTTGAATGGAAGCACAGCCCTGACAAACTCATTTCTGTTTTTAAATCAAACGTAGTGAAGTGAAAGATGTACCTGTGAGATGTTCTGTCACATTAACCACGACCGTGAGATGCTGCTCCTCCATGTATCCCTCGTAATAATCAAAGTCCACAGCTCTTCTGTTCATTGAGTGGAAGTCAGGAAGAGAGAAGCTGAAGTCCTCAGTGCCGTCGATCTGAATCAAAGTGATTTAACCAGGAAGATTTTTATTATTACATCTGTTCTTTAATCAAGAAAACATTGAAATATCTACTCACTCTATCTTTAAAAAATCTAATATATATTCATACATCACATTCAATCCTCCAGCAGCAGCAATGATTAGTACTTTAACTTTATACAATTACTGAATACAGTACAAATTTTAACATGTAAGGAAAAATGAGTTTTAAAGAAAATGCTGTATGTTGGGTTTATTCCGTATTGTGTCAGATAAATACATGAGAATTTAATCTACATGTGATATAAATAACATACCTCTCTATCTTCCTCGTACACGTCTACGATACCATGAAAATGGTGGAGGAACGTTAGAAACATGTGTCCTTGGACAGGTTTCCCGTACATGTACCTGAGGACACAGTGTTACAATCAGATCATGAGAACACAAACGTGTCAACGAAGGAATCGAACGTCCCTGAATGAAACTACATCCTCACTTGGCAGTGACGGAGCCCCACATTGTGTCTTCATGGAAAATGACCTCGGGGACGTCGATCATCACCTCAAAGTTTGGCAGCACTGCAAACAGACACGGACGTCAGATGAGCGAGATTCAAGTTCGGCTTTAATAGAACGAAGACGTCTGAAAGTGTACGAACCATAATAAGCCACGTTGATTTGCTTCTTGCTTGAGACTCCCTGTGAAACAGAATTCAACACTTTAGATTTAACTTCATGACTCTGACTCCATCGTCCTCAGGAAAAAGCTTCTCACACTTTAAAGGCTCCAAAGTTTTCCCACGCTGAAGAACTCTTAACCACAGACCCCACTTTGATTTCATGGGATTAAAACTACATGTCTACCTCTGACTTCAGGTTCTCACACTCTCTGACCTCCGGGTTGTAACATCTGAAGTCTCGACTCGAGGAGACCAGGTTTATGACGGTAAATCAAAAGGAACAGAAACTTTTGGTTCTGGGGTCGTAATCCTCAGGCTTGAGAACAAAAAGGGTTCAAGTCATTTTGAGGAGAAGACAAATGTCTGATCTAAAGTAAATCCAGACTAGAGCTGCAAATCATGAATTCCTTTCTGACTGGACTTTAAGTTTCAAATCACCAAGACGATAAATCAGTTTTATTCAAAAACAAATTAAACTAAAACTTCTTCATATCATTGAATTTAAAAACTGAAGTTAAAGAACGTGGTGACAAGAGAAGGACATTTATATTCTGCACGTCTGTCTCCTGGTGAGAGCTGATGTCTCGTCTCATAAAGTCCCGGTGAGGTTCATCCAACACACTGATGATGTCTCAGACTCACATCGACTGTAGCGACGATGGTCCACTCTCCCAGAGGAGGGTTCTCTGACAGCTGAAACTCTCGGGACACGACGCCGAGGACGCCGTCCACAGACAACCACTGTCTGAGCAGGTTTCCCCTCGGATCCTGGACCAGAGGACAGAGAATTAAATATATGGAAGAATTTTGGATTCTGCACCATCGATGGGAGAACTCAAACCTAATGTGGACTTTGATTTGTTGGAAACACTGAAGACGGACTCACCGCGATGGTGACGTCCACTGGGCTGACGTAGGGTTTCCCATCGGGATGAATGGACACCGCTCGGATCTTCACCACCTGCCCGGGCAGGTAGTTCCGTTTGTCCGTCTGAATGAAGGTGGAGACGTCTTTGGGGTCAAAGCGTAGTTCTGTTGAGTTGAAGAAGAGTTGGTGGCTCCCCTCGTGACCTTTGACCTCCAGGGTGTAAGGGTGCACGTAGCTGGAGTTGCTCTTGACGATCTGCAGGGACGTGACAAAGATTGACGAGGGATTTAATCAGTGAAATGAACTTTCATGGCAGTGAAGAAATGCGAGAGGAGAGAATATGATTTATAAATTATAAGAGTCATGCAGAAGATTAGAAACATCGAAAATTAAAAACAAAGCAGCTCAAACTATAAAGTTAATTCAAAGTTTAAAAGTGATGTGACTCACTGGAGGCATCGTCAGCTGCTGAGTTGAACCTTTCAAAAGAAATAGACGTTAAATCGTTTTAGTTTTTTTAAATCAGCGAGATGCTTCAACAGGAAGAAACCAAACACGTCTCACAGTAAAGTACAGATGAACATATTCATAACCACCATCATCATCTTCATCATCATCATCTGCTGAGTCACTTACCTCCTCCCACTGTGGCAGAAGCTGAGGACACCGTCTGGTTGCCATGGACGATGTGAGCAGAGACGACGACCTCGGAGTCGGTGAGGATGGAGACGGTGAGTGACGGTGGGACTCCAGAGCGAAGGATTCTGGGAGCCAGCAGCAGGTAGACGGGGTGAGAGCTGAGGAGACAAAGTCATAGTCCAGATAAATATATAAACACTCATCACGACTTTAAAAAATACATTTGTAGATTCAAACTGTCAAAGTCACAAACATTTCAATTCACCAAGTCAACAACATTAGAACAGAAACTCAAACTCACAATCAGAAAACAAACGATTCAACATTTTTAATTCCAGTGACAGAGGCGGAGTGATGAGACTCGGACACAAAGAAAACTCAGGAGACAAGTTTGTTCAAAATGATCTTTACTCCACGAGAAACAAGCAAAGATTCAAACATGTGAGAAGATTCAAACATGTGAGAAGATTCAAACATGAGGAGACAAACATGGCGGCAACACCAGACCGAGCACCTGTGTACAGGAGGGACTCTCATGGACAGGAAGTCAGGTCAAAGGTGAGGGGTCACATGAGCCTGAACCAGGAACTTCAACAGGAAGTGACGTCAAAATGAAAAAACTTTATGTGAAGCCAAAGTTTTAAATTTTCAGTTTTATTAGTTGACTTTAAATATAAATATAATAATTTCCTGTCTGATCCAGATGTAAACACACAAACAGAGCAACGGTTAATGTTTTTGTTAATGACTCCCCGGGACAAACAAATGTAATCAAGGCTTTGTAATTAAAAAATATTTAGATTAAAAAAACAACTCACAAATATATTGAAGTTGCAAATAAGGAAATAAACATTCTTACGTGTTGTATGTAAAATATAAACACACATGTCTGCGTCATGTCTTCTGTTGATTCCGTTCTCAACAAACACACGTGTGTGAAATGCTAATATCATCCTGAAGAGATGACACGTGAGGTCAGAGGTCGAGCGGAAGCTTAAAAACAATCTTACAGTTGGTTCCATGTTTCCAGCAGCGAAGAGAATCTGGATCCCGAAGAAGAAACCGAAGAAGTGAAGCTGAAGCAGAAACACGGCGACACACAGGAGAGGGGGCGGGGCTACCTGAGCACAGGTGAAACCAATTAGGGCGGGGCTAACAATCACGAGCGCGGGAAACAAGACGAATTACGGAAGTAAAGTGCGGAAGAGACAAACAAGGTAAAAGGACGTCAAAGTAAAACAGGAAGTAACTGGAAAAGGAAGTCATTTTTCAAAATAAAAATAAAAACTATATGAGTCCAACGGTTCCAATGAAACTGTATTTTTTCGTCAGGGGGAGATTCTCTGATGTCTCTGCTGATTTCAAATAGAACATTTTTATATTAATTATTGTTGTTATTTATATTATTATCATTATTTGTAAAAACTATTATCTCATATTTCATAAAATATTGGTTGATGTATTTCTACTTTAATTTCCTAATGATGTTTGTATTTGTTGAGTACAGAACATTTTAGGATTTTGTGTTTCTATGAAAACATTATCTGTTTTCATTACAAATTACAAATTCTTTGACCTCATTGTTTTCATGTGGAGGCCGATATTTCAAAATAAAAGACAAACTAGATTCCAGTGAAGATTTATTTTTGGAAGCAACATTTGGATTAAAATAAAATCATCAAGAAATCATCAGCTCGAACAAAGATCAGGCAAAAACAAAAACATGGAACAAAAATGGTTTGAATATAAACATCAAACATAAGTGAAATGTATTTATTGACACACAAGCACCAACTGTGATTAATACGCTGCTGAGAATAGTCCCCAACAAACACTGTTTCCTCATAATTAAGAAACATTTACCAAAAATCACAGTGAGCAGCTGTTTCTAGAAATTACTGAGACTTTTTTAATGTTTAAACTAGATAATTGAGAGCTGTTTATCATATATGTATAATGTATATAAAGTGTTTTATTTTACTAATTGGTGCATAAACACTGAATGTGAATTTTAAGGATTGAAGTGGGTGAAAAAAGTGTAACTTTGTGAAAGTTCTTTTTCAATTTTGATCATTTGATATTGAATTTGAAAAAATGTGAATATTTTTTTAACAGGAGTTGAACCTTTAACATATTGAACACCACCAACCATTTTGTAAATATTAACTTTGTTGTGTGATCATTTGTTTGAATTCAACAACTCGTTGGTGAAATCTGTGTTTACCTGTGTGAGGTGCTCTGGGCGGCGTGGAGGATGAAGAGGCTGAAGAATCCCAACACCTGGAGACGCTCCATTTGCATGGACGAACCTGGACTTGCTCAACGAAGTCTGAAGACTGGAAGTGGGTGAAGTCAGCGACACCCTTCATACCTGCAGACAGCAACCACACCTCCTCACCTGAGTCACTGAGCCAGGGTCAGTTTACTTGGATTCCCCGGGGGACACTTTGTTCTGGAGCTGAGGTTGATTGTTTCTGCACCGACGATGTTTACACTGAGGAAAACGTCCCTGAGATTTTATTTGTGATGAGTGAGAATAAAGATTATAAATAAAGTTTGTATCTCCAGCAGACATCGGTTCGGCCTCGCTGCTGCTGAGTCCAACGGCCACAGGGACATTTCACCTCCGACATGCAGCTGGAACAAAATGAGAACATGAAAAGTACACGACCTCCCATGGGGCCCCGACACCTAAGGGCCAAAGTGTCCCAGGTCATTGAGTTTCAGTGAAGCTGAGTTTTCATTGGAACATAGGAGACCTGATGAAAACTATTCACGGCAGCAGCGAGGCGACACTTGAAAGATGAGTTCCTGTTCATTATGAAGTATGAAATTCAGTTCAGGTGCACTGACTCGAGGCGCAGGCCGAAATCCCAGAGAACTAATATCTTGTCCAGAAACCGATGAGAGAGAGATGAAAAGTCAATTCATCCTGAAGGAGGTCACGACTGTGGTCATGTTATTCTGATTGACTTTAATATTTCATTCCTTTGCTTTGTGAATGTTTTCCATGTTATTGTCTGTGTTCGTGAATTTTGCTGATTCTTTGTCATCACATCCTCAAAATCCTTCAAAATAAAATCTTAAAAAGATAAAAACACAAGAGACACTTTGTGAGTGGAGCTCCAGTGACACCAGAGTGTGGTGGTGCCTCCAGTCCAGCAGGGGCGCTGCTCTGTTTCTTTACACCCTGTCACAGATCTCTTTACTTGTTTTTGAGGTCAGAGGTCAAACAGCCGCAGACATGACAACGTTACGACCCTTCACCTGCGACGATCTGTTCAAATTCAACAACATGTGAGTGAACTCTCGGTTTTTATCGTTGAACCTTATCACCGGATGTTTGTGCGGCTCAGAGACTGCGGGATCCCTGGCTCTTCTGCTGATGGACAGAACCTCCGTATAAAAACACGTCATTTAGAGATGCTGCTGATATTTAACTAAAATAAGCGCAATGTAGCGAAATATTTTCAAACTCTGTGAATCTTTACACCGTTTGTAAAAGATCGGCATTTTTACAATCAATCAAAAACACGTTGTTTACGGTAAAAGTTTGAAAATAGCCCCGTTAGCTGGCTAGCTGTAACAAGCTAACACCGGGCTACAGGACATGTGAAAATGAATTTTCTAACAATAATCACACAGAGATTATTAACGAATGTAAACAGTGTTGTGTCAGTGTTTTTTAGATTCATAGTCATGAGGACTAGAAACGTTTGAGCAACAAAACCACAAAGATGAGAAAATTCTCTGTTAATCCACATTCAGGTTATTACAGCAGCTCAAGTGAAGAAGTAAAATAAAATAAAACTAAAAAACACACAAGGATACAAGAAATATACTGCAATGCAAAGATTTATATTATATATTACTAATGCATCATGTGAACAGTGAAGACGCTTGACTCATAATTCATCAGATTTGTAAAATGTTGAATCTCTGACAAAGTTCAAACCTTCTATCGTATTAAAGGGTTTCGCTCGTGTGGTTCATGTTTAACCATCAGAGTTGTGTTTGTCTCCTCCCTCACTTCCACCACATTGTTGCACTGAAACTAACTCGATGTCTGTCTCTGTGTTCCACAGAAACCTGGATCCTCTGACAGAAACCGTATCCTTCATGATCTCACAAGAGCGTTGGTTGTTTTAATGCTGTGAATGAAAGTGACAGATTTTCACATGGCTGGTTGTTTATTCCAGCTGATGACATCATCCTGTCAGGTGTCAGTAGAGTTCACCTCTGTTGCCTCCACACGTGAGGGAATCTGACGTTTGTTTCCTGAACCTCTCTCGATCAGTATGGGATTCCGTTTTACCTGCAGTACCTCGCTCACTGGCCGGAGTACTTCATCGTCGCTGAGGCTCCTGGTGGTGAACTGATGGGCTACAGTAAGTTCCTCTGGTCACTCCGATGCTTTACATGTTCGTATTTTTTTAACCATCAAATAAAATCACTGAGCACCTTATTGTGAAAAAATCCTCTGGAGCTTTGACACCGAGCTCACAGCAAATTCAGTCATGCCTTTGTTTCTCCTTCAGTCATGGGGAAGGCGGAGGGATCTGTGGCTCGTGAGGAGTGGCACGGTCACGTCACCGCCCTGTCTGTCGCTCCAGAGTTCAGACGACTCGGCCTCGCAGCCAAACTGATGGAGATGCTGGAGGAGATCTCCGAGAGGTTGGTATCATCCTCACGACAACGTCATGTTAGTGACTGTGACCGAGCGTCATTAACAAGAACTAACTACCAAACAACATCGTCAAGTGATTTCTGAGGAAGTCATGTCAAAATGTTTTTCAGGATCTTTTTGTATTTGATTTCTGTCTCTGCTGTGTGAATGTTTCCATGACCTGTCACACAACAAATATCAGATACACTTGTCCTTCAGCTGCTCGTTCCAAAACACATGTTGGACTTTGAAAGATTTTTGAGGCTTGAAATTCAACAAACACGTTTGTTCCCTTTGTTTTGACTTTTGGTTTACGTGCTCTTGTCTCGTAGGAAAGGAGGATTCTTTGTTGATCTCTTCGTGCGAGTCTCCAACCAAGTGGCTGTGAACATGTACAAACGTCTGGGCTACAGCGTCTATAGGACGGTGATAGAATATTACTCTGCAAGCAATGGAGAGCCTGACGAAGACGCTTATGGTGAGTTAAAAAAAACAGCTTCTAGATTCAGACATGAATCCACAAATACCTGGTGTTACCACCTCTGACAACGTTCAAGAAAGTTTTGACAAATTCCTGCATCAGCCCCGAGCTTTGACGTAATCCTGCCGATCCAACAGGTTGAATTTGTATTCAAATCTGCTGTTTGGCTTTATGACAAACAACCTGAAGAGGGCGCTGTGCACAGTGATTTGAAAACGTTTGCCGTTGTTTCTTGGTGCAGATATGAGGAAAGCTCTGTCCAGAGACACGGAGAAGAAGTCGATCATCCCGCTGCCACATCCCGTCAGACCAGAAGACATCGAATAACAGCCGAGTGGCTCTCTGACGCTCGGCTCCGCTCATCCTCGTGTGAAATGTGTCGTCACCACAGGACCTGCTCAGTTACACTGTACATAGTTCAGATGCTGTTAATCAGTCAGAGAGCCACAGTTTGTACCATATTTCATTTTCTAAATTCTTGTATATTCAAAAAAAAAACAAGAAGCCAGTTTGAATCGATGACGTGTTTAATGACTCGAAAACATGGAAATAATGAAAATACAATAAAGACTGAAAAAATAACAGTAGAAAAATGAATCCTGGTCGTCCCTGTGTGGAGAATCTAATCTTTATCTTCTTCACTGCTCTTGCTCTCTTTTTCCTCCTTCTTCTTCTTCTCTCCATCACCCTCCTCCTTCTTCTTCGTCTTCTCTCCATCACCCTCCTCCTCTTCACTGTCACTCTCGCTGCTGCTGCTGCTGCTACTACTACTACTGCTGCTGCTGCTGCTGCCGTCTTCGTCTCGGTCGTCATTCTTGTTCTCCTGCTCGTCTTCAGTCACAGTGTTTTTGTCAGAGCCGTTCTCTGGCTGGTTCTCAGGTGGAGCTGCAGGCTCCTGAGAGGACGTCGCTGGTGATGAAGGCAGCTCGACTGGGTCTTCACCTGCGTCGGGTCGTAACGGCGGCGACGTTTTCTCCTCAGCCATCGGCTCTTCAGCCAGTGGATCTTTTTCTGGAACATTCTCCCCCTCGATGTCCACCTGCTGCCTCTTCCACATCTTGGCCATGGCGAGCAGCTTGAGGTTGGGTTGGTTGGCGGCGTCCTCTGGGAAGATGTAGTCGTAGTACTCCTCCCAACCTGCATCCGACTGGTGGGAAATCAGGGAGAGATAATGATCAAACCTGCGACTGGCTGCAAGTCATCGTTATTTTTCATCTGTGGCTTGTTAAACTAATATTTCAATTTATGTGTAAAATGTAAAAAAATTGAAATTTATAGTATTTAGTTTGAAATAATATAAAACAAAGAAAATATCCACGTGAGAAGCTGAGGACTAAAACATTTTTGATTATTTGGAGTAAAATCGTCCTCAAAGCCAAAAGTACAGAACAATCAACAGCGCTGCATTCAATCTGACATCCTGTTCTTACCCCGTCCTCGGCCGTCAGCTTCCTCCTCTTCTTCACCTTCTCTGGCAGCAGCTTTCTGACTCTCTCCATGGTGCCTTCGGAGCCAAACTCCTTCTCGAAGTCCTTCCAGGACTCGAGCAGCATCAGCCGCTCCTCCTTTTCCTCACAGCCCCTCATGCCCTTGTTGGCCTCCTCGAAGATCTGCCGGCACTTCTGCAGCCGGTCGGCGTCATCGATCGACAGCTCGAACTTGGCGTAGCTGATCCAAACCTGAGCGAGGAAAAGACAAGGAGGCCGATGACAGACAATCACACAGCGAAATGAAAACTGATTTTTACAAGTGAGTATTTTTGGAGTGAAAAGCTGGAGTGTAGTTCTCACCTTGACATGCTGGGTGCGCTGCAGCAGCCGTTTATAAAGGTTTCTGGTGTTTCCAAACTCCTCCTGCTCGATCTCAAAGTCGATGTAAGACTTCCACAGAACCTAAGAACGATAACAGGGACAAAAAATCAAACCAAGATGTGTTCTTGAATATTTGAAATGTGTACTTGTATGTGCAGGATAAAACAAAAACTATTAAAAACAATAAACGATACCTCTGGCATATCGAGTCTCGGTTGTCCGATGGCGAGCTCGAAGATGGCGCGGGCTCTGCCGGTGTCTCCCAGGATGGTCTCCAGCTCAGCAAACTTGATCCAGGTGGTGCAGTTCTCTGGGCTGAACTCCAGATATTTCTCGTACAGTTTCCTACAGCGGTCGAACTCACGCAGCTGCAGCTCCAGCTCGATGTAGCCCTTCAGCAGCTTGTTCTTCGGACATTTACCGATCGCTGAGCCCTGAGCCGAGAGAAACAGGAGTGAGTGGAAAGCACGGCTAAATATAAGTGTTCTAACTTTACCGGCTTCACTTTATTTCATGTCATGATTCTTAACTGGACATTGTTTACAATCCTTGATTCTGTAAAGGTATTTTCATGCTGCGCTCTTCACCTCTTAGTCTGTTTAATCCTCATGAATCAGTTTGTGGAAAGTGAAAAAGAGTCGATATGAGAATGTGTCAGGACTCGTCTGTGTTGTGGAATCTCACCATGGCTTTTCTGGCTCCCTGCAGGTTCTTCTGCCGGATCTCAAACTGACCGTAAAGCAGCCAAATCTTAGCGAATGTGAACTGAAACAAAAACACGATACAAGATTACAACAGTTTGATAACAGCACCAACTTGAAAAATTATGTTCTACTATTTTACCTCATTATTATTGATATGATATTAACAGAGGGTCTGGACTGTAAGATCACATTGGTCATAAGAAATCTGTATTACCTTTTTATGTGGGATGAGATCCAGACAGGCCTGATACACCTGCCTCGTTCTCTCTGGATCCTGACAAAGAAACAATCAAATATAATTCGAATTGATTGATATTATACAATTACATAGAATCTCAAGACGCATGATCACGTTATCTAAACCGCTCTCTTCTGAGACTGTGACGTGATCAATCTAATTGCGTTCTGTGACGGACATGTTGGGAAGTAAAACAGATCATCTTCTCATTCCCAGATGGTTTTTTTAACAAGTTCACGACATAGAACTAGAAAAAGATGTGAACGATAGTCAACTCCCATTTTCTTTGTATTCATACGACTCAAATTAAACTGCGTCTTCTTTTCACCCACCTTGACCTCCAGCTCTTCGTACAGGGCGTAATTGATCCACAGGTAAATGTATCGCCTCCAGTGTCTCTTCTCCTGGATGGGCGGGATGTTGGCAATGGCTCGCTCATAAACCTCCCTCACCGTGTCAGGGTCAGCGTCGCTCTCCACCAGGCGCAGGTAGTCAAACCACGCGTCGTAGTTATGTGGATTTGCCTGAAAACAAAAATGATGACTTCACTTACAAAACAAGAAAACAAGGCTTATGAATCAAAGATATTTAGGCGTTTATGGGACAGTTTAAGATTTTTTTAAATAAATAAAAACCAGTGTGGCCATATTTTCTCAAACCAATATAAACCCAAATCCTTCCGACTACTGAATGTGTGTCAGGCTCTCGTAATCCTGGTTAATACCTTGACTTCCTCCTCGTACTGGAATCTTCGTTTGCTGACAATGACGTCCTCGATCCCCCTGCGGTCTCCAAACTTCTTCTCGAACATCGTGTAGTTCTTGAAGAGCTGCTGCGCCTGGTGTTTGGGGATTCTGTCCAAGGCATATTTATAAATCACCCGAACTCGTTCAAACTGTGAGGGAGGGGACAGTCCGTTAACAAGGGTGTTTTAATAAAGACGTGGTCTGCATGTATTCTCTACGCTGTGTTACACAAACCTCTTTCTGTGTCTCCTCAAATCTGGCAAAGGCCACAAAGAGATTTTCATCCAGGTACTCCTCTCCAAAGAACGCCATCGATCTCTCGTACACCTTCCTGCTGTGAGTGATGTAGCCGTGCTTTTCTTCAAAGCGAGCATACTTGATCCAGTTCTTTACTTCGGGGTGAACCATGACAAGTGCAACAGCGTTAAGCAAAACAATGTGACACGTGAAACTCACAGGACTTTAGAATACACCAACTAGGTGGACATTATGACAGATTCCTGTATTTTAAGGTTTTTTGACATTGTAAATGTATTTTCTTGAAAGTTGGTGGTGTATTTGAATTTCATATTTTTTGGATTCTACAAACACAGCAGATCCAAACTTTTACTTTATATTCCTATCTTGGGTTTAGTTGGTTTAGTTTGTGCAGTGACTGAACTTTCCACATTCTTCAGTCTGGTTCTTGTGCTTGACCCTGAATGGCTCATGTCTTCTGTCTGTAAATGGCCACATGTATACAGACAGCTTTATCTATTTACCTCACGATCCTGTAGAAACAGGAATAAATATGAATCCAAAACTAAACCTCCCTCAGATCCTTTGAGTTGGTTAATTTGACTCTTTTCTGTAGATGAACTCAGAAAACCCCAACAAAAGGATATATCGCTCATAAATGGTGCGAGCGTTGTCCACCTCCTTGTAGCGCAGCTCAAAATTGATGTAGGAGTGCCAGGCCTGTTCATCAGGCTCCCACTCCATCCACCGCTCAAACACCTGCCTGCAGCCCGCAACGTTCCCCAGCATCTCCTCCATGTACGTGTACTTGTACCTGTAGGACAGACAAACAGAAAAGGCAAAACTGTCATCGCCTGCAGAAATCATGGTCAGTCAGCGGGTTATTAAATATAATTCATACCAGAACTGGTTGACGCGTGGCAGGATGGTGATTGCTCTGTCCCAGATGTTGCGGGAGTGGTTCACCTGTCGACTCTTCATCTCCATCTCGGCGTACTTCAGCCACAGAGTGATGTTGCGGTGGTCGACGTCCAGCGCTCGCTCGTAAATGGAACGAGCCCTGAAACCAGAGGAACCAGTGATGAGGGGAAATTGTAAAGCAGCGACACAGAGCGAGAGTTCCAAAAAAGAATAATACAAACAAACTTGTCACTCGACTAAAACTGAAAAAGAAAATAATTCTGATTTCCAGATGATTTCATGATTATATGAAAATACCCTGATATTATATAAGACAGTAAATAACTTACCTCTGGATCTCCTTCAGGCTTTCCTCCCATTGTGCGTATTTAATCCAGTTACTGATAACAGTGCGGTTCTTCCTGATGTTGTCCTCAAAGCCCTGACAGAAGAGACATGCACAGGTTTCAAAGTCTTTTCTAACGAATTTGTTGATCATTTATTATTGGACACGAGCCTTTCGGTAAAACAACCAGACCTTTCTCACTGGTTGTGAGCACTCACCTTCCTCTTCCTCAGCTTGTAATCATTCAGCTCCTCCTCATCGGTGATCTTCTGTTTTGGTGGCGGCGGCAGAAGTTCAAGCTCCCTCTCTTTCGCTTCTCTCAGCAGCTGCTCCGCTGTGATCTGAACCTCTGCAGGAGCTTTGTTCTTCACCTGAAACACACGAGATCACAGTCTGCTGTGAGCACAACGTCCCAACACCGAAAAACATTGTTTCTTGACTGTTTAAGTCAAGATTTGATTTCCAAGGACAGCACCCACCCCCAACACAGCCTATTCACACTCCTGGACAAGCAAGGCGAACAGCTTCTTCCCACAGGCCATCAGAATATTAAATACAACTTTGAACCCCCCCCCCACTCCACTGACACAACTTGACTGATGTGCAATAACCATCACAGTAATCTGTTCACTCTGCACTTTAAACAACACATATCTACCTCTACTCTACACCTTTGTACATTTTTATTACATTTTCTATTTCTCTATATTTCTTCTAATACTATTTCATTGTATAATATTTGTGTGCCGAGAGATTGAAAAACTAAGTAAGAATTTCACGACATGCTGTAAAGTGTGTTTATCTGCTGTGAACATGACAATAAACTGAATCTGAGAGAACACACACACACACACACACACACACACACACACACACACACACACACACACACACACACAGTTAGCTTCTCTGCATGTACAGTGTGTGTTAGCTTCCACAGGGAGCAGGAACTGTTATTGCGGCTGATGACATTTCTGTCGGGCTCACACGATCCTTTGTATATTAATGCTTTAATCAACGATCTTATGCAAATGTTCAGGTGAATAAAATCTGATTCCGAAAGCAAACGTGAGCTCGATCCGTCAAAGTTCGTCCGTCAAACTTTACCGCTGCCCGTTAGCATTAGCTTAGCAGAAGTCAGCTCACGGCCCTGGTCTCGTGTTTCGGTTTCCCTCGTATTTACCTTCGCCACCTTCGGGATCCGCTGCTTCCCCGCCGCGGTGGACGCCATGGTGCCGACGGCTTCAACGGAGCGCGGAGGAAAGTTTCCAACGAGCCGGTTTAAAGCGTTTCCACGACGTGTCTGCGTCCGCCAGCGAGCGCCGCCATTAAAGTTCCCAGGGGGCCTTGCGAGTTACCCATGAGCCTCTGCTGCAGCGTTCTGCTACCATGGCAACAGCCGGCGACAGTTACAGAGAAACTGGAGTTAGCATGTGAAGCTAGTTCCGTTGTTCACCGAGTCTTCGAATATTTAAAAAGAGTTTTATCTCCGGTGAAGGCGAGCACAGAGAGGAGCAGGCGGCGGGGAGGAGGTGGAGGCTGTGGCCGCGAGGAGGAGTCACTCTGCGGGTCTCAGGTTGATCGACAGCCTCCTCAGCTCCGGAGCTCTGACGAGTGAAAACATTCAACTGCTGTAAGAGAAACTAAACTTTACTGATAAAGATCCTGAGCTGGTGAACTTCAGAGGAGCTCATCATCAAACACTGAATCCTTTCACTGAACCAACCACCTGAGGGACTCGTTACTCTGTTCATAGTTAAAATGGCGTTCAGTTTGGTTTTAAATTAACTCTAAAACAAAGTTTCACATGGACAAATGCAAACCGATTGTGATAAATATTCAGATTCAACGTTATCGATCCCGAGGAATCAATTCATCTTCATCTTAATGTGTTCACACACACACACACACAGTCAGAAAGCACAGGTCAACAAGCAGGTCAGTGAAGGGAATCAAGTTAATGAGGTCAATGAAAGAGCAATAAAAAGACAATAATTAGATCTTAAATATTCATGTGTTACACGTGTTAGCACGTAAGAATCATTTCAAATGAGTTGAGCAGCCTGATATCAGAAGGAGAAAGATTCCCAGTATCACTGTGAACTCATGAGACAAAAATATAATAAACAGACGTAATTATACTTATTAACAAATTATAATATTTATTAAAATCTATCAGTATTTTCCAAGTGTGGTCAAGTTTAAAGCTTTTTAATTTTCAGGAGCTGAAACTCGTTTTGATTTGTTTCTTTATTTGTAACAGTGAAAAGATTTAAAGTTTAAATGTTGGCTTCCTGTTGGTCTGTAGCTGGGGGGGAGGGGGGGGGGAGAAGGGGAGGGTCCTCTTCCTGTGGACACGCCCCCGCAGTGTGGACTTCCCGCGCACCTGAGACGACTGATGATGACGTGCTGAGTCTCACCTGGCTCCGGTGTGAACGTGAGGTCAGGCCGCAGCAGCTGCTCCGAGACTCTGCAGCTTTTAGCAGACACAGCTCCTGATTCCACCCGGAGCTCCGTGTTTCAGTCCCACGTGGACGGAGTCTCTGGCGGATTAATGGAGATAAGTCAACTCACTTTTATGTTCCGAGTTAACTTTTCGGGAGAAAAAGAATTGTTGTGTTTTGTCATCTACTAGTTTTTAAAGAGGTGTCACATGTGAGAGCCTCGTTCATTCAGAGGGAGTTCTGCTTCAGTCTTCACTCCTGTGTCTCGTGGTGATTGCTGTGTTCGTTGTGTGGCTGCCTCTTCCTATCGTTGGTCTCTGTGCAGCTTCTTGCTTTATGTTTCTGGCCTGTGACTCTCATAAATAAAGGTTGTTTTATTCCGTGTGGGTGAATTTCTGTCTTGGACCAGACTGAGCTAATGGCTTCACACAACCTTTAATTCTCCAACAAATAAAGTTTATTACAATACTGTGTGGTGTCATTGTCTTGGTTTAATTTCATGCTGCACTGAATGTTCATGTTATACTTATGTATGGTCTATTTTAACTTGTCTACATGTACTAGTGTGTTTAATCATGTGAATGTAGTTGTGTTTGATGCCATAGTTGTTTCCTTGTACTTTTTATCAAAGTTACAATTTTATTTCAATCCAATGTAGTACTCATGTTTCATAAATAGATGGTAATCTCCATCCTCATAAAACAAATAGTTGAAATCACTACAACAAAGGGAGATGTCGTGAAATCTGTTTGTTAGATCTGAGTTTAATGTCGTTTACACAGAATTTCCTGATTCTTGTTTCTCTGTCTTATCTGCTCTCTTGTCCCATCCAGAGAAAAAGCCAACCTGGCTGTGACTCTGACGAAGAGAAAAGACGACATCTTGGCCCACGCTTCCTTCCTGGAACCCTGTTGGAGCTTCGGTGGATCAGGTGAGTATGAATCTGGACAAAGAATCTGCCTCCGAACAGTGTAGCACATGAAGCTAGTTTTTAAAATATTAAATAATGGTCTAATCCTTATTTTATTTTTTGTATTCTTGTAACCAATTCCGATGAAGATGAGGACCATGACCTCAGACAGCGGGGAGGAGGTGGAGGCTGTCCTCGTGAGGAGTGAATCTGCCGACGCTCAGGGGATCAACAGCCTCATCAGCTCCAGTGCTCTGACGATCTCTGGGAGAGTGAATATTATTCCACTGCTGTAAGAGAAACAATCATTTTATTAGATCTGAGTTTAATGTCGTCTACACAGAATTTCTTGATTCTAGTTTCTGTCTTATCTGCTCTCTTGTCCCATCCAGAGAAAAAGCCAACCTGGCTGTGACCGTGACCAACAGAAAAGATGACATCTTGGCCCACGCTTCCTTCCTGGATCACCCTGTTGGAGGTTTGGTGGATCAGGCTCACTGGCAACGTTTCCTGCAGAAACACTTCAGTGCTGAAAACTGCACGGTGAGTACGAATCATGAATCTGGACAAAAACGATCTGCTGATGTAGAGCTGCTCTTAAGTGTAATTCTCTTTCTCAATCTGCTGTTTGGATTCTGTCTGCAGCCTCTGAACACACTCTTCCTCCACCTTTTCGTGGCACAGAAGAACTTTGCGACAGCCAGTGTGAAGAAGATAATGAGGTAGACCAGGATGAGGTTTGAAGCCACCACATGATTATAGATGAGATATTTAAACTAAGATCTACTCACTTCTCTTGTCCTGCATCTTTTACAGAGCTGTGTTTAATGCCGTCCCAGAGCTTGAACACATCTGCCTGGTCACCCCGAACATCATTGATCTAGGTGAGGAGCTGCTTCAGATTCATTGCTAACTTTTAACTTGAATTTCATGAGACTCAGCCTCGTGACTTCTGTTTGTGTAGAGCCGGCACTGAAAGACACGTTCGAGTGGCTGCAGCGCCTGACGGAGCCCGGCCCTCGGTGCTTAGCATTGATCTGCCACAGATGGCAGCACTGTCCCAGACTTCATATCCGCTCTGCCAGGTGACGATTCCTCCTATCAACACAGTGAACTTCTGCCTTCAAATGGCCACGCTCACAAATCAAACTTAACTGTAATGTCTTTAATTGAACCCATGTTTTATGAGAGGCTCAGAGGTGACTGCGATGAACAATTTTCAGAATGTCTGATTTGCATCTACTTCGTAATAACTTGCTAAAGTGAAGGCAACATTTTGCTGCTCTGTGGGTCCAGCACCATTGATTCCTTTCACAGAATAATCAGATTCTTTGTGATATAAAAAAGGTTCTCTTGTGTGTTGCAGGGAGGAGGATCATGACGACATCATGCACATATTTAACCGCTACACTAAACTCTTGGATCAGCCGTACGTCCTGGCAGAACTCATTGAGGCTCAGAATGAAGATAATCACTCAGCTGTTTGTGAGGTTTGTTCCAGAATCCAGACTCTTGCACTCACAGATTTCCTTTTAGGAAAGAGTTTTTGTTTTTTTTTGTAAATGATTTGTCGTTACTGATCCTAAACATGATGTGAAGGCAGATCTCTGATGCTCTGTCAGAAACCCTGCTGGGGTCCGGGAGACGACAGATCTTCCCTCCCAGTTGGGAGGTGTTCACGGCAGCATATGGCAGATACGAGCTGATACTTGGCCGGTGCTCTCACATGCTCTCACTGAACATATTGTGTCCACACATCTGAAGCATTTTGCTCTGAAAATGATCAGCGCTCAGAACAGACAGTCTCACCATGTTTTTTAAATATGTTCCAGATATTTAAACTTTCTCAAGATTTATTCAAAATTATTTTCTTAAACATTTTTGCATGAAATAATCTCTGCTCTAAATTGGAAACTGTTGAATCTCATACAATCAGAAAGTGTTTAAAGGCCTTTGTTTCCTTTGTTTCTCAGGTTGCTGGCGTCACTGTTGGTTTCATCTGCGTCACTGCTGATGTCGATTTGAAAAAGCTGCGTCGCGGCTTTGAGCTCAGTGACTTCAATGATTTGTACAAACCACAACAAACTGAACTCTGTGAACCGGCTGTGTCGACTGACCCGGGAGAAGATGACGAGGAACTGAGACAAAGTCAAACCTCCACTTTACAACAGGTGACTTCAAACATGGAAGAAATTTAGCATCAACATAAATTAAATCTGAGTAGATATAATTGTGTGATGAGGGTTTTCTGTACTTTCTATACATTTAAATCGGTGTATTTATATTTCTGTATGTATGTTTGCGTATTTCTAATCCTTT